CCCCGGACCGCCGCCGGACGCTACCCCGCGCCCCGACCTTGCCGCCGCTCACGGCCACAACCACTCTGTTTCTCAACGCCAAGCATGCGCGCACACCTTGGCCTCGCATCACACAGATCTGCGCAAGGCTCTCCAAAAATGGTCGTTGCCGCTACTGTCCAGTACAGGTGAGTGAGCAAAGACCCAAATCAAAAAAGCGTCCGCCAATCAACAAACTCAACGCACCTCATCCAATGCATTGGCGTTGTTGTTGCATCAAAACAGTGCCCCGACACCACGCTGCTGAAATTCAAACTGCGCCGCCGCCAACCCGCCGACGAATGCTCTCCGCTGGACAGTGAGTCGTACACAGACGACAAAGGAAAGGACAAATAGGCGGCGCTCAAGATCCCCCTGAAAGTGGCCGCCGGGGGAGGGAGCGTCGTGTCGGGGGCGGTACCCGTCGTGCTGCCAGCAGGTGGGCCTGCACGCATGCGCGCGTGTGCGCATGCTGCGTAGGCGCGCCATGGAGACCCACATGCCCTACCCCGCTGCAGCTGCCGGCACCTCGCGTGTTGGACTGCATGTGTGGACGCATGCCTGGGCATGTGTACGTGCATTGACAAGCACACGCGCACACGTATGAGCTGAGAATCCTGCAACTCTTACACAAATGTGACATCCAGGCACGGATGTCGACTTATCTTCCCAAAATATTGATCAAATCGGTCAATCACATCCTTCCTCCAGGCACGGCCTGCACCTTCTCGGATGCCAGCGTCAAAAAAGGCAACGCCGGCTACGACGCGCTCGTCGCCGCACTCGAAGGGGCGACTGTGGGGGACGCCGGCGACGCCTCCTTTCGAAGTGAGGGGTCTTGGGGATGGCGGGGCTCGGGTCCATTGGCGTTGCTGGGTTGTGGGCGGGGAGGTTGCAGGGGACGCAGCCCCGCAAGGGGCTGGAGCGTGGGCGGGTGCAGCCGGCAGGCGATCTTCAAGAGGCAGACGTGGAGTTGCACGATTGCCCAGTGGGGCCTGCTGTGCAGGGTTGAAGCTCGCTCCCCGCGTAGGCGGTTTGCAAGCTAGGTGCGTAGCCGTGCGCACTCGCGCCCCGTGTTGCTGCGTTGGACCTGGGTCTGGGGCTGTCTGGTGCAGCCGAGCGGCGCCTCACCTCACGGGCTGTCCCTGCACAATGCCTGCTGCATTTATGGACGCATCACCACCCCAGGCCAGGTGCAGACATTATCAGGGACCTTTGTCAAGGTGAGCTCCCCAAAACCTGGACCATCACCTGCAGTTGGTCCTAATCATTCTTGATGTTGCTCTTTCCGCTGCACGCCGGGCTTTGTCGCTTGCCGAGGCCAAAGAATGCTAGCTCCTTGATCGGCGACGCTGCCGCGCCCGGCCAGCCCCCCTGGGCAGCGGGCGGCGGGCTCTGGCTTGACAGCGTGCGAGTAGTGTGCCACGGACCGGCTGGATCGCCAGCCGTAGCCGGCAAGCACGTCACCGGCGGGGTGGCGCATGCCGGGGTCCGCTGTTGGCAAAGATGTCCTCTTGGATCAGTGCTGGCATTCACTTCCCCAAAATCTGCTTATCGTCATCACAAATGCAACTGTCAGGGCAAGCCTGGTGCAGACAAGGGCAACTTTATAGACGTCAGCTACTCCATTGAAGGCCTTCAGTTTGACGTGAGCGCACCCCTGCGAGCCATGTGTGCGCGTGTGTGCATGTGTTTTTGCGTGTGCATGTGTGAGTGATTGTGTGCAACCATGTAGGTCGAAGATACAATCTTGTAGGATGTGAATGTAGGATATTGGGGCACAAATATGCATGTGCATGCATGCTCACACGTGCCCTTGCCCATGGTCGCGTGAGTGATCCAGCCTACCCCAAACCGCTCCACTGCCACGCCGTCCGCCTCGCGTGCAGCTGGAGCTGTCGACGTCCGGCAAGCTCGGCATCGGCTCCGCCACCAAATATGAAGTGGAGCCAACCATTGTGGCCGGCACTGTGTCCGTATCGGGCAGCTTCAGGTGCGGGACGACTCGTACAGCAGCTTTTTTGAACGGTCCTCAAGATCCCAAACGGGCGCCTGGACCGCCGCAGCCGGCACGCTGCACCGCCGCACTGCGCCGTAGGGCTACCGCCCGGCGTCTTGGCTCTTCGGCGCGAACCAACAGGGGGGCCCAACCTTGCGCGTCCCGCGCCGGCGCCATCCTTGTTTACAGGAAGAGCACATACACCGGCAACATTAATTTCAAAGCCAATCTTGCCTCTGTGAGCATCAAGAAGACCAGCAGCTGCAAGCTGCTTGTCTCGGACAAGGCGCCCATCAAGGTGGGGGCGGCGGCAGACGCGCAGCCAGGCAGCCCTGCGCGCGCAGGCTCTTGTTCGGACGCGCTGAGCACAGGTGCTGTTGGGAGTGCCTTTGCTGCACGCCGACAGAGTTCCGCATGTCAACAATGGCCTGCGCGCATCCAAACACAGCACGGAGCCTACAACCCCAGACAC